ACAGGCCCAGCTGATGGTATGTCTTCTTGTCGTTTGTTGACATCATGTAGGAAATTCAGAACACATCCAGGATCGGACGGAACACCATGGTCTGGCCAAGCCTAATGAAAGAGGGAAGATTTACTTGTTAATGGCATTCTGTAACAACGTGGGGTACTGTATACTTTGAATGATATGAAACATCTATAAACTTCTCTAAGTAAAAAATTTTGTTGTTGGCCATTGATAATTGTAATTAAAAGAAAATTATGTCTTATTATTAACCCTTAAACTGCTAACGATATTTATGATTGAGCCCCACTTAGAAGAAAAATTGGGGGACAAAAAATACTTTCTATCTAGAATATCATAACATTAAAAAATAGAGAACAACAATATACCATATATACTGGCATACAAGATGATCTTTGAAGCTTAAAAAATTCCCCCAAAATTAGAGGTTATCTTATATGTCAAGTATAAAATGTCAACATTAAATCATGGGTAGAAGTTGTCAGCATCCTGGTCACCCAAGTAAAGATAAGGATTTCATGAATGAATTTGGCTTGTTTCTTGAAACAAATGTCATCAAGAAGATTATCCCTAATCCCCACCCTACTTCAACTCAGGAGACAGGTCATGTAAACTGATTCCTTTGTTCTATGTCTTTCTCCCTTGCTTTTTTCTGTTAGTGGTTTGATGAGGATCCTAGTATACTAGCTCCAAGATTTCATCTTTTATTTCTCCAATGCAGGTTTTTACTTCATTTACCAGTGTGACCATTATAGTTTTGGAATATCTTCTAAATTTCATCAGCTCACCTTGCAATGTGAGTGTTACATTTATTTATTACTGTATTATTTATATTATTCACTGTATTATGTATTACTGTATGTACAGGTACATTAAAAAAAAAATATTTATATTTGTACAGGAAATATAAACAGAATTTTGTGTCGCAGCCAAGGCAACTTTTCAGAACCGCTCAGTAAACTCGGATTCATTCCGAATTCAAATCATTTAATTCATAAAAAAAGAAGCTGAAATCCAAATTAACGAGGGTACAGTGTAATATGATTTGGATGTGTTTATTTATTGCTGTACAGTATTTATATGATTAGTACATGTTTCTGTACTTTTTATTTCAGATTAACCAACAAATGTAACCTAATTTGACTGGCTAGGAAACGATCCCCCCCCCCTATTACAATGATTTATTGTACTGTACGTACAGTAAATCCCCGCTTAACGTTGTTTTGGTACTACTTCGCTGAACTTTGGAGACCAAAAATTTTTTAACGTCCCGGGTGTCCGATACTACGTCATTTTGCATAGTCACGGACTACTTTCTAGGGCGCATTACCCGCTCTTGTCTGGCCGCACTACGCTCTCTTGGCTCGGCGTGCTGCCCTCACTCGCGGAAAGTTACAGAGTCCCCAAGCGATACCAAGCCAGTCTCTGTTACGACTTCACATCATTCATGTGCTTAAGTGCTTTTGCTCTAAAACTGTACTGTAACCATTCAAAATGGTTTCCAAGCACCCATTAAGCGCTACTAATGCTAGTTTAGTGAAAAGGCAATGCAAGACCATTACCCTTGCTACGAAAATGGATGTATTAACCCGATTTGACAAAGGGGAACGTGCTGTGGACATAGCCGCTGTGCTTGGTCTAACCCCCACAACGGTACGTACTATCCGGACCAACGCTGACAAGAGTAAGGTTAGTGCTGGAAGTGGTTCTTCTCCGAGTGCTACTAAGACGACTCATACTAGAAGCACTGTGATAGAGAAGGTGGAAAAGATGTTGGCAATGTGGATGGAGGACAAGTATCAATGCAATACCCCTGTGAGCTTTATGGTTATCCAGCATAAGGCCAGATCCTTGTTTGAAGACATGAAGTAAACAGAGGGTGAAGGATTGAAGGAAGAGACCTTTACAGCCAGCCGAGGCTGGTTTCAATGATTTAAGCGTCGGTATAACTTCTACAACATAAAGATGACTGGTGAAGCTGCCAGTTCAGATATGGTTGCTATCGAGACATTCCCGCCAGAATTCAAACAGATTATCCAGCAAGGAGGCTACTCACTGAAGCAAGTCTTCAATGTGGATGAGACTGGTCTCTTTTGGAAGAGGATGCCTAAGAGGACCTATATCTCCAAAGAGGAGAAAAGAGCGCCAGGTTTTAAAGCGGTAAAAGACCGCTTGACGCGAACCCTGCCGGTGACTTCAAGCTGAAGTCTATGCTGATTTCTTGCGCTGCCAACCCACGGGCCCTGAAAGATTACTCTAAGGATCACCTTCCTGTCATCTTCAAGGCAAATAAGAAGGCAAGGATAACCGGCGCCATATTTAGCCAGTGGTTGAATGTGTACGCCGTCCCCGCACAGAAGGAATACTGAGCCAAGGAGAACCTAAACTTCAAAAGTCTTCTGATCCTTGACAATGTTCCAGCTCATCCTCCCAATCTCGACAACTTGCATGAAAGTGTAAAAGTTGTATTCCTGCCTCCCAACACGACAGCACTGATGCAGCCCATGGACCAAGGCATATTATTTACGTCATAACATGGCCCAGCTGCTCAAGGCTACAGACGGAGAAAATAAACCAACGATCCGAGAATATTGGAGTGGCTTCAACATTCTTCATGCAATTAACAACAATGGCAAGGCATGGGAAGAGGTTTCAGAAAGTTGCCTGAATGGTGCGTGGTGTAAACTGTGGTCCGAGTGCATTAACAGTTTTACGGGATTCACAGACTTAGTCCCAGCTGTGAATAAGGATATCCTCAGCTTGGCAAGACAGGCAGGCTTTGATGAGCTGGAATCAGAGGATATATAGAGGACGTCCTGGCATCTCATACAGAAGATCTCACCAATGCAGATCTGCAACAACTAACAGAACACAGTCCCTTTGAAGACGACGGCGAAGAAGAACCTCAACGAACGCTAACTTCCAAGAGGATGGCAGAATCGTTGAACATGTTCCAGCAAGCACTGCAAATCCTTCTATATGACGAACCAAACAGAGAACAGAGTTCAACGGTTCAACGCAGCATTGAGAACAGTCTTGGTTGTTACACCAAGATCTATAGAAGAAGATGAGTAGCACCAAGCAGTCAACACTGGATTAATTTTTTCGTAACGGGACGAGCAGAAGTAGCTTCTTCACAACAGCCGGCAGCCAAGGAGGAGCAAACATCAACGGAGGAGGAGCAAGCAGCGGCGGAGGAACCCCAGTCAGAGGAGGAGGAGGAGGAGGAGGCAGCCGTAGATTCTCAGTGACTCACCACCTCCTCCTCTCCGGCCCTCCTCTGCTCCCACCCTCCTCCCCTGCTCCCGCCATCCTCCTCCTTCGCTCCACTACCCACCACACACTCGCTCTACCACCTCCACCCATTGGTGAGTACCAATACAAACTTAGTACTGTAGTTCTATTTACTGTACAGTAGTCCCTCGGTTAACGAGCACAATTCGTTCTAGAAGGTTGCTCGTTAACCGAAATCATTGTTTCAATGGGTTTTTGGATAATTGGTTCCAGCTCACAGAAAATTGCCTAAATTCAACAAAAAAGGTAGAAAAGTACACAGACTTTGAGGTGTGTATGATGAAGGCTCCTGGATGAAGATGATGATGGGAATTAGAATGAGGGTGGAGGAGAAGGGAGAAGAGAAGGCATTGGGGTGGAAGAGAAGTCACCCCATGGTGCCATTTCACCCATAAAATTTTAGTTCACTTGGTGTAATTCAAGATTATTTTCTTTAAATCAACACTGCACTGCATTATATATTGTAAATATGTAAAATAAATTTCAAAATGACCAATAATTTGACTGGAAACACAGAAAAAAAGCATTTATGTTGAAGAGAGTCTGAAGCAAGATGTTACCTCCACTGAAAAGACAGAGACTGACGCCTGTAAGGTGTTTTGACAGGCTGTTTGGCGCGCTAAAAACTAGTTTCCCTGTACTTAAATTATGTTAAATAATTGTTAAAATTACTAAAAATTTTAATATAAGACTTTTAAAATTGTTGAATAGTACAAACTTCTTGATATTTACTAAAATAGTAAGGAATTTAAGCCCTAGAACCGATTACTGTATTGGCGGACTAATACTACAGCTGGTGGGCAGCCAAATGCAGGCGAAAACATGTTGGGAAAAATTCGTAAGGAATTCGTTAATCGAGGGAATGCTCGTTAACCGAAGTTAAGAATCATATGGAAGGTAATTCGTTAACCGAAATTTCGTTAACCGAGGGATCACTGTATATATACTATTTTCTATAGAACTGGCAATGATTTTCTGTATATGTAATGTTTTTCATGGGGCAAAGGGAGGTTGGGGAACGTAAATCCCGTATTTTATCTATTTCTTTTGGGGAAAATTAATCCACTTAATGTTTCGCATAACATCGCGTTTTCAGGAATGTAACCCCGACGTTAAGCGAGGACGTTATTCATCTAATCATTTTACATGTGGACTTTTAAGAATGGAACCCAACTGAATAACGAGGATCCACTGTATAGTGTTGATATTTCACATAAATTGTAAGCAGTGCTGTAAGCGTCACCGAAAAAAGTGGCACCGTCAGCGTAAACGGCCGAGAAATTTGATGCCATCAGTGTCGGCGTAAAGGATTTCATAAATTGAAGCCGTTAGTGTCAGCATCAACGAGTTTTCAGTGACGTATACAAATGCAGCCCTGAAACGCGTATTCTCCTGTGTATGGGAGTAACATATGCAAAAAAAAAAAAATATTCATTAATTTTTAATCATTTACAATGATTTATATTTTATCACTTTAATAATTCAATTGTTCCCCTGCAAGAATACTAGCATCTCAAAATGCTTGTCGCTCATTCTGCTGCGCTTGGGCCTCAAGACGTCCTTGCCCATGGAGAACATGCACTCCACGGCAGCACTAGAGGGGATGGGGGTGTTGTATTTGATGAACAAATCCCTCATGGCCTTGTTGGGGAAGGTGTCCTTGTCGAAAGTTTTTTCGAAGGTTTCTCCCCAGGAAACGCTTGAAAAGGTCACTGTCTTTTTCATTCCTGCGGAGAGTCTTTTACAGGGCCTGGAACAATACGTCTTCCACGTCATGGTCTTTGTCGTCTCCGTCACTGCTGCTCTCAGTCTCGTGCACGGACTTCTCCACCAACCTGGACAGCTGGTTGGTGGCCTTTTTCCTGGCTTGAAAATTAAAATCAGTAGAAAGCTGCGCAGGTGCGCAGGCGTGACAAAATTTTTCCCGGTCGTCTTTATAACAAGATAATTGAAAATCAAACTTGGAAGAATTTAAAATTTTAGAAGTTGACGAACAAATTGATGCTTGATGCTCCGCTCGGGTGAAAAGTTGACCGAGGCACCTGTAGCATCACCTGCCCCAAAAATTGATGGCGTCAGCGTTAACAATAAGTTGCCGCCGTTAAATTAACGGCGTCAACGTACAACACTGATTGTAAGTTATAATTCTGCCCTGGCTGCAGTCGGGTAGCATTTATTAAATATAATAAAACTTGTTGTCAATCCCAGTCGCCCACGATGATAACACATAATAATAATAAAACCTGGTCTTTTGTTTCCCCAAAGTGCCAGTTTCCTAAAGAAGTCACTAGCAATCAAAACAGTACAAAATCAAGGACCTGAGAATAATAAAAATAAAATGAAATAATAATTATAACTAAAAAATATTACAAAAAGTGACAGTAAGGTCCACCGGACCCCCCACGAGGGCATATTTTGGCAAGAAGAAAAAAATCCAAATCCATGGTCAAAAACTGGTATTCCAGGTGAAAAATTAGTGCACTCACTCCAAGCATACTGTTGTGGCTAATGTGCACAGGGTCCCCTACAACCATGGCCACCACGACCTCGATGAGGGGGTGGTTGGTGGAGTGGGATTGGGGAGTGAGCACCATTGTCTGTATCACTGTCCTCATCTCAACAAACTCAACATCATCTGAGTCTGTTTCCTCCCCATCACTAATTTCATCACCTGATACTATATCAATGCCACTCAAATCAAGCAACTCTTGATGAATAGCACTACAATCGAGGGTGTGGCGGAGAAAGGTGGGTCACGAGATGTCGAAGGATGTGCATACATTAAGATAGATAGTGGGTAACAGAACCACTAGACATGAGACAAAGATTACATGTAAGTTGAGTTGCCAAGTAAATAAATACAGCCACTCCTCGAATTACGACGTACTCGAGTTACGACCACCCGGACATACGACCGCCCCAGTCGTACCAAATTTTTTTCAAATTACGTATTTTCAAGTCCCGATGTTAGTGATTGCGCTGTGTACTGACAAAATTTTTGTTTGTAGTTCCCTTTAAAATGGCTGGCAAGCTTAAAAGTGAGAGTTTTGTGGTGCTGAGAAGAAAAAGAGACACCCGTTTTAGATTTTCTATGTAATATTTTCGCATTTTCGACTTACGACCTGGATTTGGGTCCCGAACCCTGTCGTAAGTCGAGGACTGCCTGTATCCTATTCAAAGTACTTAGTCCCGCCTGGACATTAAAACTATGTCATGGAAATTAAGGACGTAGAGGAAAGTCACCTAGGATTACTATGGCATCACCTGGGCTTTAAGGGTTGAATTACATTAAAAACAATCATACACACACACACCCCATCCTATACTCCTCATACAAGAAACAAAATCCATCATTCATTTACTCATCTATCAAACATATTCCATTCCCTGTAAAGGCAAGTAGAACAGGTTTTGTAAATCATTATACAGACAAGAAAAATGCTCAGTACACTAAAAAGAAAAAAAAAAGAGAAAAAAAAGAAGACATGAACGACTAGATTGTGCCATATAACTATAAACTCTTTGGTGGGCTTATGGAAAGAATCACCACACATTAAATTTTTCACAATCAGGTTATTTACTTACAGTAAAATGATAATGGAATACTTTTCTCTCAGGTAAGTCGTCTTTGATGGCAAGAAATTCTCGTAGGATGTAGTCATTGTTTGAACTCTCTGAAATGTTACGAACTGTGATACGTCCATACTCCTTACTTGAACCTTCTTCAGGCCAGTAACGACCACACTTATTCTGAAAAAATTATGCAAAATTTTAAATGAAAAACCAATGAACATAAATTTGCTTATTCTAAAAAATTAATTTTGTCATTTAGTGTCTAATATCCTGCTTTTATTCATCAACTTTATTTCACTGCCAACAATGTGGTGGTAGAGGAGCAAAAGACTGCACAGCACACTACACTACAATTCAGTACATCCAATCTTCTTCCCCATATGCTTACTGACAAAGTGCATCATGACTTCCACATTAATTATGTCCTTCATCACTATCTTTTTTTTTTTTTTTTAGGTTAAGGTGGGGAGAGGATGGAAGGCATGCTGGGGCTCAAGGCACAGCCAGACATGAGGGATGGAGAAGTCACAATATATAGTCGTGGGGGGAAAGGTTGGAAAAGAAATTTAATGAGTTAAACAGAGGGGGACGACACCCCTTGTTTTACATATTACAGAGTTTGTTGGCTAACTAAGCTAACCTAGGATTTAGAGTGAGGTTGCACAATGGTTATTTTAGTAGACAATGACTAGATTGTGATGGTTACAAGTGTTCCCTGAAGAATGCAGTGATGGGCAGGGAAACACCGTGTAACACTGAAGTCCGTTTATTATGGATGAGAGAAATACAAGTGGTGACTAGCGTGTGCCATGCACGGCTCACACAGTCAGACTGAGGCTGCCTTGCCATATGGCAGCCTCGGGGCAATGTTGCCACATAACGTGCAGTGTTGCCACGTGATGATATATATAAATGCTACTCGGCACAGATAGCTTATATACAGGGTTGCTACTCGGCACAGTAGCTTATATACAGGGTTGCTACTTGGCACAGTAGCTTATATACATAACCTACATCTCCCTCCCCCCTCACGCTCATAGTCTTTGTCTTGAGCCGACTTCTTAGTCCTAAGTCGCTCCGAGCGTCGAGGTGCACTGTGGGGCGGATCCTCCTGAGGTGTAGGTGACTCGTCCTCGGTCAGGGGGCCAGCAGCAGGGGGTGGGATTGGTCGGAGGAAGCGGTGGTTCCTCCACCAGACACGGCCGCTCGGCATCCTGACCTTGTAGTCCCGTGACCGGCCGACGCCCATCACTATGCCCACCTTGTCCCAACGTGTCGTCGTCGGGTCCTGGACGCGGACAAGGGCACCAATCTCCACTGGCTGAAGAGGGCGGGCACGGTCGTCATACCGAGCCTTGGCGTCCTGGGCACATGTAGCGGCGCGGCGGTCACAGCTCTCGGCTCTGGTCTGCCAGTCCTTCGCAAAGGCCTTGGCGTGTGCAGGAACACAAGAGCGGAGAGGGTGACCATACAGGATCTGGGCAGGGGAGCGTCCTGTGTGGGTGGGAGTGGACGCGGGTTCTGGGCAGCTCTGTGCTGCAGCGCCAGGCGGGTCGCTCGTTAACTCACGCACCCTGCTGGCGGTGTACGGAGCAGCTGGGATCTGCTCGGGAAAGTCTCTGGGCACCACGCCTAACTCCTTGCAGTGCTCCCACGACAACAAGGGTGTAGCGAGAGTAGGCTGCACGTCGATCCATCCGTGACACGACCTGTCGCCGTAGGTGATCTCGGCTTGAAAGGAGCCCACAGCGTCTGGCATCTGGGAACCGTCCGCATTGTAGTACTGCAGCTGCGGCGGTGGTCCCAGGTCGCGTTTGGTGAGGCCCAGTTTCTGGAGGTGCTTCAACCCAATCACCGTAGTATCAGCGCCGGTGTTCGTTATCACCTCAATGTGACCTGACACATCACCGTGTGTGACGGCGACGCGGATAGTAGGGGAAGGGGTAGCCCTGGGGCGTGTGGTCGATTCCACCCTCCTGATGTGACTCAGCTGCTGCTTGGGGCTGCGTGGGCCATCTGGAGGGGGCTGCGTGCGAACCACCCCGAGGGAAGTGCGCTGCTTTCCTCCTCGTCTCGGGCTTTTGGGCTTGGGTTGGCGGCAGCACTTGTCGTAGTGTCCATAGCGACCGCAGGCCTGACACTTGCGGCCTCGTGCAGGGCACCTGTCTGTGTTAGACCAGTGGCCCTTACGGTCACATCCACAACACAGTGCGTCGGTGGCCGGGCAAGTCTTGGAGCCGTGCTGCTTTCCACAGCTGCCACAGGAAGCACTAGGCGGAGGCGTGGAAGAACATGTGGCAGCCTTCGCGTTGTTGGCCGCCTTCTTACCCTTCTTATACTGAGAGATTGCTCTCACAGCAGGAGGGGCCCGTAAGGCAGAGGTGGCGGACTTGGTGGCCTCGTATGACCGACATTCAGTCACTACCACCTGGAGTGTGGAGGAAGCGTCCAGGGGGATGAGTCGCTGCACCAACTCTTCCTGCCTGACACCTGCCAAGATCCCGTGCTTGATCCAGGCTTCCTCACATTCCCGGCTGTGCGCCTTGCAGACGTCGATCTCCTCTGACAAACTCTTCAAGCGTACAAAAAAGTCGTCAAAGGATTCGTTCTCCGCCTGCTTGCAGCTGGTGAAGGCGCGGCGACGCAAAGCCTCGTTATTCCGACCCTTAACATGCTCCTGTAAAAGGTCGAGCACATCCGTCACTGAAGAGGTAGAATCGGGAGGCACTTGCAACGTGTGCTCCAAAACTCTCTGGGTCTCCAGCGACAAACACATCCGCAGTTGGATGAGCTGTTTGTTTGGAGGCATGCTGTCAAGGTCCACCATCGTGGAGTAATCTGTCCAACGCCGCCTCCACTCACGAAAAAGCTGAAACGTGACGTCTGGTGAGAGGGCGGGTGGGGGTTGAACAGATGCCTTGGGAGCTGTTTGTTTGGAGGCAAGAGTACCTGGAGGACGCTGGTGTGGTGGAGGAGGGAGTGTACTGGCGCCTTGATGCGCGCTACCTGCGAGTGAGGGAGGGTGGGTTAGCGCCAGGGTCGCCAATAGTGCCTCAAAACGCAACTTTTCCTCCTCTCTTCGTGTCTCCTCCCTCTGAAGTTCCATCTCTCTGCGTCTCTCGTCCCGGTCGTCCATCCACCTCAGAATTGTGGCAATGTCCGTCACTGGAGGTGGAGGATGAGAGTCTGCGCCCGGTGGAGGGGAAGGTGGTGGGGAGTCGTGTCTCCCATCTTGACGTTGTCCCTTCTTACCGCCCATCTTAGTGTGTGCGTGGACTGCACTGTTTAGTATATAAAGTGGCGCCTCAACAGCTCGAACCACATATATATGACATAAACAGCGCAGAAATAACGCATATAGTCCACTGTTCTGTCCGTGAGTGAGTGCGTGCGTTCGTGCGTGTGTGTGTCTGAGAGAGCACTTCGTGGTGGCCTTAATGCCGGTGGCTGGAGACGCGGCGGGACGAGAGTCAGTGTCTCCCAGGATGTCACACGAGAAGGGTGTACGCCTGCGTGCTCCGTGGGTACCACAAAAAAAACAGGCCAATGCTCAACTCTCAGCTCTAGACACACACTAATACACTGACACTAACACTGCCACCGTCACTAAAACGCACTGTGACGGCCCAACACTGCACATCGCGGCGAAACACAGCGCAACACAACACAACACACTATGAGTCGACGCATCACCGGCAGACGTAACTGTCTCGGCATAGTTCACACACTTTGTAAGTCCACAGATCCTAGCCACTGCGCCATGGTGGTTACAAGTGTTCCCTGAAGAATGCAGTGATGGGTAGGGAAACACCGTGTAACACTGAAGTCCGTTTATTATGGATGAGAGAAATACAAGTGGTGACTAGCGTGTGCCATGCACGGCTCACACAGTCAGACTGAGGCTGCCTTGCCATATGGCAGCCTCGGGGCAATGTTGCCACATAACGTGCAGTGTTGCCAGTGTTGCCACGTGATGATATATATAAATGCTACTAGGCACAGTAGCTTATATACAGGGTTGCTACTCGGCACAGTAGCTTATATACAGGGTTGCTACTCGGCACAGTAGCTTATATACAGGGTTGCTACTCGGCACAGTAGCTTATATACATAACCTACAGATTGATTTTACAATTAGAAGTTTATTAACATCTTATACTGTATTACGTTATGGACTCACTTGATTGTGACTTGTTAAATGTGAATTTATATCATCTAAGTTTTAATCTAAGGTGGATCACTGTGGCGGACATAGATGGGTCGCGGGTTGGGTTGTTGTAGTGCGGGCAGACTCCGGGGCCACCAGGCGTGGGGCATCACTATCTACAGGTGTATTCTGTTCACACAGTTGATTTGCTGTGTTAAACAGACTTCTATTTCCGACTATTGTACTTTTCACTCTCTTATACAATTCTTCTCTTGTGTAGTAATACACTTGGCATACTACAATGATAAATCTATTCCTGGCTCAATCTATTATGTATTATACCTCTCTCTCACCATTTTCCATCAATACATTATTTAAAATTTTATGGCAGCTATGACTGTCACTGAATTCTGACTGCCTATGATGTCCCTAAATAAAAACCATCCTCTTCATGGCAATCATGCTATACTTGGCTTATTTTTTGGCTGTCTTTCCGTTTTTGTGAATTTCAAAACCAGTTTTATTGTTTTAGAACATTTTACTAAAACAAATACTTAACATTGTGCATGTCCATACCAGTTGCTGAACTTTTCTTTCTGTTTCTTTCTAAAGACATCACCATTTCATGTATAGTATTGTACAATTTTATAACAGTATTTATCTTTGTGAAGAAATTACCTAATAGATAAATATTTTAATTTCCTTGAGTCTGTTGTTTCATGAATTTCGAGGTGGTTCACTGTTTTGGGTTAGAGCCGAGGTGCAGCTGGTCAGGTATGTTCTGTCACTTAGCTGGGCTCTCCTACCCTACTCTGTAAGTTTTGGTCTTTTACCGGTAGTTTAAATGCAATTGTAGTTAGATAGTGATCAGAGCAGTGTTGGTATCAGATGTAATGTGAAGTGGACATTTTGTTTCTTATAGCGTAAGAGTAAAATTGATAAGATAATTTTGGATCAACTGCTTTTGGGGGGGGGGGGGTGGCTGGTGACCCGTCAAAACAGTGTTGTGGTGACCTGTGCGGCGGTGAGCCACGAGTGGTTGTGACCTATGTGATGGTGAGTAGTGTGGTGTAGTGACCTGAGTGTCACAGTGAACTGTATCTGCCTTGAGCTGTGTATGACAAATCATTGCAGCATGTCACCCTGCCCCTACCGCTCTTACCTCAGTGCTGACTTATATTTAGGCCTATGAACTGTATTGATGAGCCACTGTTGTCTTGTAGTTGTAAGTTACTTAAGATATATATATATATCCATGTTTCTAATTGAATCAATATCACCCTTTTTATACGAGTCACAGTCAAAGTGGAACATAATTAAATGATACGGTATAAATCAGTTGAAATATCTAACAAAGGTAACCAAGGAGGATAAACCCTTGACAATCTTACATTTCTTTTTGTTCCAACAATACTTCATGGGTTACTCACCCCTTTTACTCTTATTTTTAATTATCCCCAACTTTGAAAGCTTTTAATTTCACATCCATACAGCTGGATCTGAACCTACCTGATCTCCAGGAAAAAATACTCAACCCTGTTTCATTACAGAGCTAAAAAAATTATCCCATCATTTAAGACAGACAATACAGAAAGTTCCATTCTTTCTAAATGAATCCTGGCAAGTTCTGTGAAGACCTCAGGCGTGCCTCCCAAACTGAAAGAATGGGCTTTGAACTGGCAGAATCACATCTTCAACTTTTAAGACTAGAAATACTGTGACACTAGACAAAAAAAAAAAAAAACACACTGATAACAGGTAAAAGAATAGTGAATATGAAATTAATCCTTGGCAAATTCACAAGGAATGCCAGAGAACATAGTCCCAGGTATTTAAATTAAGTCAAGATGCAGGCTGTAGATGCTAGCTAGTATAGTAATTTTTGTTGTGTGATAACCAACTTTATGAATGGTCTGCCAGCCTTTGTGTATCTATTGACTTATAACCCTTGTATGAAGTGGCTGTTTTTTAGCCCCTAAAATGACCCAAATGGACAATATGCTTGCCTCAAAAACTGAAATATCTCCATGAACATGGCAGGCTCGGCCCAGAAAGTGTTTTAGCAGGTGAACTCCAAAGTCAATCAATGATCCATATACATACCACAAAATAAACATGCTTTAGTCGTTCTTCTTACCTTCCCTCGTTCCACTTCTTTAGTTGTCATGACAATGACTCTTGTGTTCTCCTGCCACACCATCCACCAGAAGTCAGCACAGGTGGAAGGTAAACAACCCTGTGTAGCTATATAGGTTTTAGCCTCAATCCCAGCATCCTCTTCACTCTGAAAAAATTTATGCATATAAATATTTACTGCATTATTCTGGAAAAAAATTGGCTAGGATCATTAACATGACAAAATTCAAAAGAATAATTCACCTGAAAACACACATTTCCTCAAGAGTACAGTAGAACGTCGATTTAAAGCAATTCAATTTAAGATTATTGATTTAAAGTGACACCCACCATTAAGGAAACTCTTAATTTAAAGCGATCTTTCCTATTTTGCGCGAGTCAATCCTGTCACTCGCCCTGTTTAGAGCCCACAGAATGACCAGAAATAGCAGAGAAAATATTTTTTCCCAGAGCATTATTCATAGCTAAGATGCAATATTGTCAAATATATATATATACGAGTATAAGTGAAAAGTGTGAGTTTACTGTTGATTCCTCTTCGTGCTGTACCCACATCATTGCAACAGTCAGTATAAAATGCACATGGCAAGAAAGAGTAAATTATAAGGAAGATGAGTGAAATCAGAAAAAAAAGATAATGTAAAAAGTAACAGTTACAGAATAAAAAGTAAAAATAAGTGATGGTTTGTCACGTAGTCGCCGAAATGTTTATACAAATTTTTTTCTGGGTAGTATTTTGTCAAAATCTTTTGAACATATTTTTTTTATAACAAATTATTACTGTACAGATACCATGGAAGAGAAATAGACCAGTTAGAAGTTTCTGTGACAACTGAAATTTTGACAAAAATATTTCCACTTACCACTCATATGAGGTCGGCCTTGGCATATGCACGACAATGGTGATGGCGTTGTGAATACATATCAAATAAGCAAAATACAGTATATATTCATTAGAATTCACCATACCCATATGTATGCCACTAATGCACTATGTTACACTGTCACTAATTATTTTTCCAAGCAATGCCTATATATTATGACATGCTTTTGTGTGGTACCTGTACAGGTACTCCTCGACTTACGACCTACTCAACTTACGACCTACTCGACTTACGATCACCCAGACATACGACCGCCGCAGTTGTATAAAATATTTTTCAAATTACGTATTTTCGAGTCCCGACGTTAGTGATCGCGCTGTGTACTGACAAAATTTTCGTTTATAATTCCTTTTAAAATGGCTGGCAAGCATAAAAGTGAGAGTTCTCGTGGTGCTGAGAAGAAAAGGAGACACCCATTTTAAATTTTCTATGTATTATTTTTGACTTACAACCTGGTCGTTGGTCCCTAACCCGTCGTAAGTTGGGGACTGACTGTATATGCTACTGTATTGTGAGTAGCCATTTCACTGTCTCATAAATTAAAAAATATTTCACTATTTCATTGTAAACATTTCAATACACATAATTTTATCACTTAAAAAGAATAAATATTGAGGTTGTAAGAGATGAATTTCTTAAGATAGCAGCACAAACGCCACAGTGGCTATTTTTAAATCGCGCCTGGGATGGAGACACTCACTGCTTACTGAGGCAGAAGCACTACTGTACTGGCACCACGTGGTTCACCGCACATAGATGGGGTTGTCACCTAGCCTTAAGACTTGGTTCCACACAAAAGAGTGGTGTGACTAAAGTGGCATTAAAATTTTAAGTAATTCTACCAGAAACTTTAAAAGGCAATAAAAAAAGGGTCATACTGGCGTGTCCGATCGTGAGGCAAAAGTTCATTTACATTGAATCAAAATGCCACTTATGCGTGTATGATTCCGAGAGTGTTAATAACTTTGTTACGCATTATAAAAACAACTGATTTTCTTTATTCAGTCCAGATAAGCAGTGCTATCTCCAACCTCTCCCCATCCCATAAATTCGCTTTTTTTGGATTCGGGGTCTCCCCCAATTATTCCGATTTATCGAGGTTCTACTGTATATACATGGGGACCTGAATATATGTGAATTTGCACTAAAGCGATCAGCCCAGGAATGTAACCCTCACGTACTGAGACCATACTGCATATTATTTTATCTTATTACTCATAGGAGTTGGTAACTAGTGGGAATTCAGTTTCAGAGATGGTAACACTGTTCATAGAGTTAGCTGTTTTGATGGTGGTCATGGCCAAGACACATTGGTGTGAATCTGCTGTCTTGATACAAATTATGTCTAGGATTATAGCTAGTATTTCTCAACAAGTTAGGGTCCAATCCTTCATTATTCTGTATTGTTGTGATGCAGGCTGCGGTGACAGCCGTTGCAATGCTCCACAACAACAATAATGATCCCCAAGATACCAAGATATTTATTTTTAAGTAATTTTTTCCAAGATTCGTGTCATTACTCAGGTGTCCGGTACTCGAAGTCTTTACTGTTCTCAAATAATCCTGGATTACTGTACGTGTAATTTAGTATGGCATACGAATAATGATTTTTTGGTGATTAAGACTACTACTGTATATGTACAGTATAAGCGAGTATACGAGTAGTGGGTATATGAATAATGCAGACTTTCTCTAAGAGTTTTCACAAAAATAAACACAGGCAGGCAAGTGCTAAATATCAAGTTTTAGTTATTCTGCATCATATTTGTGTCAAAGAAAATTATTACAAAGAGCAGTAAACATACAGGTAGAATCTTAATAAATCAGACAAATTGGGGAAGACCCAAGTCCAAAAAATGCGAAAGTTTGAAAAAAGTTAATCCTTGGGGGTCAGGACTCTGAACATTACCCTGCTTATCTGTACTGTTTCTGGTAAAATCAGACATAAGTCTGGTTGTCAATAATGGTTTTCATTATTTGCCTGTTTCATACTATAAAGTGTTTCTCCAGAGAGTATAAATAGTAAAAGAGCTTCTCCATGTGTACTTAGTAGGAGTGTCACCAACCAAGACTGTCCAATCATACTCGCCCATGGTGAGTGAAAAATCCTTATGGCGAGTCAGACTAAAAAATCACGAGTCTGTCAGGAGAGTGATAATTTTGCCTCATGTGAAAGTGAAAGAGACGTAAGTAGATCCTTTGATTTTGAAAGGCTTTATATTGAACAGTTCTTCAATCTACATAAGAATGCATGATTATTGATTAATACTCGTCAGTTGACTTAATGAGGCAACACCAACACAGGAAAAGATGGTGAGTAGATGTGTTGGAATTAATATTGTATACACTAGCAATGAAGAAATCCAGATTATTATCAAAAAAATGTCAGCCCAGGCTTTAAGTTCAACACAGAATCAGCAACAGAAAATTTTTTGATGTTAGGAAAATAATTAAACAATGGTGATAGCAATCCTCCCAGGAAGAGAACAGAAGACAAGCGTCTATTATATCATCCATATGTCACACGCGCAAACACAACTGCTACACTCCATCTCAGTCTCCATTACGTTATTTTAAAATTAAAACGATAAAGTATATAGTAACAATAAATTACTTCATCTTTATACCTTATTTAAATTAATTTCTCATTATAATAAATTGTTTCTCTCATAATTAATTTTTTGTTTGGTTACTACTGTGTGTCATGGGATATTTTACTGTATTCCTCTTATATTGCATTTTCATTTTGTTTTACATGTACTGTATATAAACAAATCTTAACATATAAAGAACTAAATAGTTTATGTACAGCAGAGGTAGCAACAGGTTAAGAATTTTCCAATACCCTGTGTTTTGCAATTCCAAAGATCATTCTGTAATATGAAGAACATATGGCAGATATCTGAAAATTAAACGAAGTAATACTTACTGAAATGAGATTGGCATTGATATAATCAGACCCTGGAATGCCTGGATCTGTTTCTCGTAGTATGACCCGTGTATGATCAAATGGTAAAATATTCTTGTAACGATTCTTGTTACGATTTTCTGGTTTCTGTCCTTCCTTGCGGGAGTATAACTGCTTACATTCTTGCTGCTGCAGGGATTCAAATTCCTCCCAGAATCCAGCCTTCCCCATAGTGGGTACCTGATGCTCCTTCTGTAATGACGGGTCAAAACTTGTCTGGCGTCGACGCTGTATGACCCGTCAACAAATAACTAATTATTATACAGTATTTAGAAACATAATTAGTAGACAAAATTTCCTAAACTACAGTATATAGTTAACATATATTTGTAAATTACATGAACATTTACCTTGATGTTGATTGAATTTATTTAAATCATAATCATTATGAAAACACATTAGTATACATACAGTACAATACTGAACTTCTTCAAAAATAGTCCTTAAACATTAAATTATATCAATACCAAACTTACCGACAGCTCTCGCACTCTGCTATCAATGCCTCGTGCATTGATCCTTGTAGCATTAAAGGGCATTTTCAAGGGAACAACAGTACCAGATTGTTCTACCATTGGATTCCGTCGGTAGTGTTCCACCAACTCACTGAGAGTGTCAAACTTTCTTCCACCACCAACATCATATTTATTATCCTGCCAAAGAGAGCAGATAATAAAATAATATTAACAAAACTTAAACTTTTTTGTAACAGCGTAATAAACATACAGTATGGGAAATAATTTATACATAATATATGGCACAAAATAAAGCTATCTCTTACTCACTACGGTATTTCATTTATAACTATATACTGTATATCAAATTTTAACCTATCAGCCATAGAAAACTTTAGGTTAGAGAAAATAGTTAAAAGAGAAAATATGAGAACATCACAACATTTACATATATTGTACAATGAAGAAGAAAAAAAGAAAGAATTGAAGATTGAAATCCTATCTTAACACCAGCCAGTCAGTGAACAGTCTGGTATACAATACTATAATAGTCTGGTATACAACACTATAATAGTCTGGTATACAATAATTTAATGGTCTGGTATACAGTACTGTACTACAATTGTTTGTACCCCCATATACAATACTATAATAGTCTGGTATACAATACTATAATACTGTAGTCTGGTATACAGTACTATAATAGTCTGGTATACAGTACAGTACTATAATAGTTTGGTATACACAGTGGACCGTAGATGTGCACTCCACGACTGACCGACATGCATATACAGTACAGTAAAACCCCATTAAGGTGGACCCCACTAAGCCAAATATCGCTTAAGCCAGACAAAATTTGCTGGAAAAAAAATGTCCTAAGATGACATTTCTGCTTTGAGCCAAAATTTCAAGAGACCAAGGTGGACAGACTGTGTGATTCACCCACGCTGGTAAACAAAGGAACGAGCTCAGTCATAAATTAGTGTTGTCCGTAATAGCATCTATTTCTCTCCATTGATTGTGTTTCATTGGCATTTAGACGTGCTAACTTTACTTTCAAACTCATTTGACATTGCCAGTAATGTGATTATGTTGTAGGCTAACATAGCATACATATTTTTTGGCCCCTAAGAAAGTGTTTGGTATCCTTAAGGGTGGTGAGAAGGTTAAGCCTAAGGCCTTATCAGTGAACAAAAATCTAAGGAAAAGTTACACAAATATGCCATGAAATTTAATGTGGACCAGGAAAAGTCTGGCAATACGAGAATGAGGACTTGGAAGAGACAGTGTACTTTGTGTACGTTACTTTTTTTAAATTAATTTTGATTAAAAAATGTGTATGTATTTCTTTCATAAAAATTTGATATATTGGTGTTGTACATACCCATTTTTTAAATGGCGGTCTTTTTGGAAAATTTGTTCTAAGGTTAACAATCTCTTATCCCGGACACCCTCCCCCCCACAATCAGTCCGCCTTAGCGAGGTTTTACTTTGTTTACACTGAAGCAAGCAGTCACATCCCTTGGCAACATATACATCATACATATTCGTAAATGTCTCATAATTCAAAATTCTACCAAAGATTACGAAATTTGTAATATATACCGGGTATATCGTAATATTTTGAAATGTCTCTCATATTCCAATATATACCAAATATTACAAAATTTCTAACCTATATTTCGTAACATCAAAACATTACAAATTATGCGTGATTTCAAATTAGGGGAGTACGAATTATATATAATTTAGAAAATGCTTCAAAAGTTTCACACACTCGTCTTTTTTCTCAACAGCATGCTCAATAAATTAAGAGTGACTTGCCTGAAGGAATTTTAAATTCTTCCCATAGATGTGTCTTTACTCCACCATAGTACTAGCTCTTTTTAATTAACTTTCACCCAAAATATATGAAAAAAGGCCTGCAAGTGATACTGCTGTTAATGTGGCCAAGTAGTCGAAGAAAGCATCAATATGGATGTCAAGTACAGGCCATAAGATGAGTGGAGGCAGATGAGTGTCAGGCTGACACAGATCATAGCTTGGGTTAGGTTATGTCAACCATATGAAACATTATTAAGAATGCAGATGAGATAATAGCTTTCTCACAATACACCACTTTGTTAAAAGCAATCAAGACATCTTATTCAAGGAGTAGGATCATGTAAGGAGTGAAGTCAAATGTTGGTCAATCACACACAATCTTCAACTGAATGCTCTGTAGAGTACACAACATTGTATTCTTTTATGCCCAATATCGTCAAAAACTAATCGATTTGTTTGTAAAATGTTTTAAAACATTTATAAAATACTGTATACAGTATCTGTCATATTTAAGCCTCCAGGAAGTATTGCATATAATACAATGTAAGAATGTACTACTGGAGAGAACTTATAAAATTATTGTTAACCTTTAGACTGCTAATTATTTTTTCTAGTGTATAAATGAATTAAATTTAGCTTTTAGGAAAATTCTAAAAAAAAATGAGGTCGTAGCCTGGTCAAAATGGAATCGTTTTGGTACCAAGTAAATTGATGTACTGTAATGTGATCAGTGATGCCATAAAGATTATTTTAGTGGTGATTGCAGAAATAAAACCCAACCAAAATATACTGAACATTTACTTTATACTCCACAAAAATTTCTAATATTCAGAGAACCACTTCGAAGCACACATTAATGCACTGAGAAGCACTGGGAATTTTTTTTGCACTTTTCAATATATATATATATATATATACACAGTATATATATATATATATATATATATATATATATATATATATATATATATATATATATATATATATATATATATATATATATATATATATATATATATATATACACCTAGACCCCGACTTACGACGGGGTTAGGGACTCAAATCTACAATGAAATACAGTACAGTAAAAGTAATGAATAATGATGAATGGATACAGTACAGTGAAAGTAATAAATAATAAGGAATGGATACAGTGTGACTGAGCACTTAACCTTTAATGTAGTCAGCTGAATGCACATGGGGCCCCCATAATTTTCTAATTATACATGGAGACTACATTAACTGGAAACGTTTCGGTATAGAAAATGCGTGTGTCATTTAAAAATTTTTTTTTTTTATCTATATCTGAGGCGGTCGTAAGTCCCGACGGTCGTAAGTCGGGGTCTAGGTGTGTGTGTGTGTGTATATATATATATATATATATATATATATATATATATATATATATATATATATATATATATATATATATATATATATATATATATATATATATATATATATATATATATATATATATATATATATATATATATATATATATATATATATATATATATATATATATATATACACACATACAGGTAGTCCTCGACTTACGACCTACTCAACATACGACCGCCTCAGTCGTACCAAAAATTTTTAAAACTCCGTATGTATTTTCTAGGCCTGAAATGTTTCCGTCCCGTACAAGTGCGTCGCATGGGCTGGGTCGCCGCGTGGTGTACAGCGTCCACGCCGTAGCGCGCTCAGTTGATGTTTGGCTGTCGTTGTTGTCGGTAGTGATCGAGCTGTATACTGACAATATTTTCGTTTCTAATTCCCTTTAGAATGACTGGAAAGCGTAAAAGTGAGAGTTCTGGTGGTGCTCAGAAGAAAAGGAGACAGTCAATTATTTTTCAGATGAAAATGAAGATGATAATGCAATATGAAAATGGAACAACGGTAGCAACCATTTCACGCGACCTAGGCTTCTCTCACTCGACGATATCGAAAATTTTGAAGGACATGGCACGAATGCGTGAGGTAGTGAAAGGATCAGCACCTATAAAGGGAACGATAATAACGAAAAAAGACAAGGTCCTATCATGAGATGGAAAAATTACTTGTGGTGTGGATGGAAGATCAGATACAAAAGCGTGTACCCTTAAGCCTTCTAACAATACAGGCTAAGGCAAGAAGCCTTTTCGAAAGCCTGAAGGAGCAGGCAGTAGATGAGTGCGACCAAAACTTCACAGCAAGTCATGGGTGGTTCCAAAGGTTTAAGAAGCATTACAGTTTGGACAGTGTAAAGGTGAGTGGAGAGGCAGCAAGTGCTGTGGGTGCTGCTGAAGCTTTTAAGGAGGAGCTAGATCGTGTCATCGAGGAGGGAAATTATTTGCCTGAGCAAATATTTAATGTGGATGAAACTGGCTTATTCTGGAAGTGCATGCCAGAACGGACATACATCCACAAAGAGGAGAAAAGCATGCCGGGATTCAAGGCATTCAAGGACCGAATCACACTTCTGTTGGGGGGGAATGTAGCTGGTTTCAAGATATAGCCCTTCATGATATATCATTCAGAGAACCCAAGGGCTTTTAAACATGTCAGCAAGCACACACTGCCAGCGTTATATCGCAGTACAGTGAGTTCTGCTATAACGCGTGTTTTGATAACGCGAATTTGCTCTAACGCGATTTATGAATTCGGAACAATATTTGTATAACGCGATCGCTTGTTTGCTGTAACGCGATTTTTGCTTACTATTTCTCCAATTTTGTGGTATTAACTGTGAATATGGTAAAGAAGAATATCTCCAAAAAGCATTCTGATGATAGAATTCCCGGTGATTATCGTAAAAGAAAGGATATAACACTTGAAGAGAAGCTTGATGTTATCAACCTCAAAATCACCCTTCTCCCCCATCAAGTTACATTCATATTTTTTCAAGGTAAAGTGTTAAATTTACTGTATGATATCATTATTAGATATGATTGTAACATTTATTTAGACTGTGCTATCCTTTGTGTTAGGCTAACTACTAAATTTTTTCGATTTCGAGTAATCTGCACCTAACCCTATTTTCTCCATAAGCCCTGTTATTTCTATTACGCGATTTTCTATAACACGATATTTTACAAGAACACAATTATCGCGTTATAGCAGAACTACCTGTAATAAGAAAGCATGGATGACCCTAGTATTGTTTGAGGATTGATTCCCGAGTTGTTTCATTCCACGAGCCAAGGAGTACTGTCTGCAACAGGGTTGTGTTCAAGATTTTACTAATTTTAGATATTGCTCCAGGACACCCACCACACCTGGACGACCTGCACCCTGATGCTAAGGTAGCCTACATTCCACCTAAAACTACCTCTAACATCCAACCCATGGATCAAGGTGCTATTGCTGCTTTTAAAGCATATTATTTACATACGACCTTCGCTCAGGCTGTTGCTGCTACTGAAGGTGAGAAAACGCTCAGAGAGTTTTGGTAGGACTACAACATTTTGAAATGTAAAAAGAACATAGCTGCAGAATGGGATGAGGTTACAGGTCAGTGCATGAATGGAATATGGAAGAAAGTCCTGAAAAGATATGTGAACAGTTTCAAAGGATTTAATGAAGATGATGTAATTTCTGAGATTAGTAACAAGATAGTGGAGTTGAGTAAACAGCTGGAGTTAGAAATTGATAATGAAGATGTTGAGCAGTTGGTTGAAAGTGTAGCAGAAGAGCTAAGTAACGAGGATCTTATTGAACTGGATGCACAGAAAATTGCAGAGGAAGAACAGAGTCAAAATGTAGAAGAAGAACCTGTACCCCCCAAAAAATTTTCAGTGAAACAAATGGCAGAGGCATTTGCTACTATGTATTAATAAGGGGATGCAAATGTTTGACGAAATGGATGAAAATGTTAAGCGTTTTACAAAAGTTGACAGAATGATCCAAGAAGCACTTCCTTGCTACAGGGAGATTTACAATGAATAGAAAAGGCAAACTGTGCAGTCTAAACTGGACATACAGTAGTACCCCGATTTACGCGGTCAATTGAACCCACAGGGTACCGCGTAAAGTGAACAACAGAACATATGGGATTAATTCCAATAGAGACTGGCCCGACCCCCAAACTCCACTTTTTGATGACACACAACTATGTTGTAGTAAAAATATTATCTTAACTTTATGATGGTATGCACACACAATTAATAATTAAGAGAAATGTCAATAATATTAGTTTTTTTAACACTTACATTAGTAGAAAAGATGGCTGGGCACACGGGGATGGGCGGTTGGTTCCGAGGCAGAGGGCAGATTATTGGCCCTCACCTGTATCACTTGTATCAATTGTATCACTATCCACCACATAGGCTTGCAGGGCCTCTTTGTCAAACCCCTCAAAGTCCATATTCTCACTATCACTATCACTGACTTAGGCCGGCTGTGGTGGGTGGCGGGTGAAGAACTCCGTAATGTTTTGATGGCTGGGCGACCTTGTGCGCATCCTGCCCACGCCGCTTCCCGCGTATATGAGTAGATGCACTGCGGAAAGTGAAAGTTCGGTTCTGGCAAGGCACCGCGTAAATGAGAAATCGCGGTTAGTGAAACCTCGTAAAGCGGGGTACTACTGTATATTTAAAGAAGTCCCCCATTGCTGTCTCCTCACGCCCCATCTTCACTCCCTAAAGATGATCCAATACCTTCAACAAGCAAGTATCCGCTGTATGTTAACCTGTCTGAAGAAAGCGACATTGATGACCCACCCAGCCGTCTCCTTCTCTGCTTCATCCAATTAATGTAGTCTCCATGTATAATTAAAAAATTATGGGGGCCCTGTGTGCATTCAGCAGACTACATTAAAGGTCTGTATTTCATTTCAGATTTTCAATGTATTATTTTTTCCATTTTCGGCTTACGACCAATTCGACTTACGACCTGGATTTGGGTCCCTAACCCCGTCGTAAGTCGGAGACTGCCTGTATAAATATATATATACCATTTTATGCGCACAATAACAACTATCAATTTCATCAATAAGATAAAATATTACCATATTTACCACTTTTTATGGTACAAATAGGTTGCCAAAATGGGCAGGAAGGCAGTGTGCACAAAAAAAGATACTGTACATGGGGGAGCTGCCACACTCCACATCTTTTATTTTTTTTTCCCATTCTTCCCATGTGGCATCCAGTGAGTAAGTGAGGCTTCCTGCTGCAGTGACATGTCTGAGGACTGGCTTCCCGCTCAAAAATGGTGGTCCCATTTAAAAAATACAACGAAACTTAGGACCGCCCATGAGACCTGGAGCAATCTATGGAGCGGCCATCTAAGTCTAAGGGTTAAAATCACTCTCAGAATACTGTACAGTATAGTTTTACCAGTAAGTGTAGTATACTGCATATAGTTACACTTTGATATTTGCAACATGTGACAGAACCACAATTCTGAAGATGCGACCAAGAACCATTATGTCATTCAGGGAAGAAAACGCGACACATAGCATGACAGACACTAAACAACATTCAAACTGAGAGGGGTTACACAGGTTTTAGGATGGACAATAACCTAAAAAAAGCTGCCACCAGTTACTAATGACTGGTGAAAAATCTCAAGTAACATCCTTAAAGTGACACCAGTGAATATTTATGGCAAGATCATTAAGAATGGCTCAATAAACAGCATTAAACCTTCATTATACAGCCTTCACACAGGTCTGTGTTCCTGCCAATTTGAAGATGGACTTCTTCAAAAAGTCTTAAATTTAAGTTGTTGGATGATTATTCACCATTAAGCTCACATGTTGTGGTGAATGATATCATATGATTCTAGTGCATTAAATTATGAAACTGAGATTAAGTGTGGTAATTGGTTTATTTGTAGCATTAGAGATTAAGTGTGGTAATTGGTTTATTTGTAGCATTAGAGATTAAGTGTGGTAATTGGTTTATTTGTAGCATTAGAGATTAAGTGTGGTAATTGGTTTATTTGTAGCATTAAATAGAAAAGAACATACCATCATTAAGTGGCAAGTGATAATCTACCTCCCTTTAATATCAAAATACAGTCCACTAAACATTTTAGAAACTATGGATTATTTTATATAATAACATTCATTGTCTAGTGTTTTTATTACATGACCCCAGGTTTGCTCAGACAATGGACGAGTTGGCAGTTCTGGGTAAACACAAGAAATACACTCTGCCACGTTCGTAGAGTGATACGGTATATATAATGTGTATTAAAAGTTTAAAGTCCTGCTATAATAGTTGAGATAAGTTTACTTTTCTAGAAACAGGGCCCCCATTTGCAATGACGTCATTACCTTCAAACTCATCGCTGCAGTCGGAAGTAGTAGAAAGGATGGCCTCTTCAGACTCTAAATGCTGCGTTCAGGTAAGTTTTAAGGGTGTTTTTTTATGGTCTAAGTCATGGACATTTCATAAGTGAAGAAATGTGTTGTGAAGAGCTGCTTCAAACATAGGTTGGATGGATATATAAGCGATAGGGGTTGGGCGTAAATGGGACTGCCCAGTATGGGCCAATAGGCCCGCTGCAGTTTCCTCCATTCATTTGTTCTTTTGGACAAAAAAATTCCCATGTTCGCACCAGCTCAGCTGTCATGTGCTCTTACCTGGGAGACTTTCTCTTCTTTTTTTTTTTTAAGTGCATTCAGAGAGTATATCAGTACTAGAGGGAGATACGAGTAAATTTTAAGTTTTGGTCATCCCTGTACTTAGACATGCAGACTATATTTTTTTCTGATGGTTTGCGATGTGTTATGAACGATTTAGACCTTCATTTCTATCGGAAGTCACTAGTTTTGAGTTACTATCCCCCGTTACTGATGTAAGTTAAGCTAACCTTATACACTAACTTATCATACCCTAACCTAATATATGATCTGTATTTTCCTGTGACCAAAATTTTTTTGTGACAGAAATTCTGAAGAGATAACTAATGTCTTATTGTTTAAAGTACTTAATCCCATGGTTAGAATCTTAAGGTTCCCCAGATAACCAAAACCAAAATAATACCATTATCGTTTGGAATGTTTATACGTACTATGAAATTTGTTGTATGGCCAGCTAATATATCCATTGAATTAGTTTACGTGCTTTGTAATATTTATGTATTCAAAATAGTATTACTGTGTTGCACAGTAAAGCACAATTAATTATTTAATAATGCTTATTTACAGAGTCGATCAGCCGAGAAGGTTGGACAACTGCAGCTGGCTGACTCCCGGTGGGTGGCTCGCCCCAGCCAATGACGTCACAACCAATCACAGAGCTTTTCACAGTCACGTGACTTTTTAGCAACTTTAACCAATATTTTTGACACTTTTTAGCCCAATTTATTTCAAAATATCATTACCATAGTGAATTTAGGTGTTTTCTTTACCCATTGACCTGTCATCTTACGAAAAAATTCCGACCGTCAACTCGTCCATTGGCAAAAGCTATTGTTCATGTACAAGTCTAGGTAAAACCTAAAAATAAAACAGAAGAGTGAATTGTATTTTCCCACAGTATCATTATATTACAGTAGTGCTAGTATATTGATACTTAACAAAGCCCCATATATTACTTGTAGGTAAGAAATTGAGCTATCACAAATGCATCCCTATTGGAACCATCTTATACTGATACCTCATAATATAGAGCTGTATCTTAAAAGTGATCCATTTTACAGGAATACACTAAAGTTGTAAGAGGTATGCCCGTACAATAAAGGGTCATCATAGGGTAATGATGCCTAGTATGTCATAACTGTAACTGAACACAAACTCACCACACATCTGATCATAACATGTGTAACCTTATCATCGGTGCGTACAGACAACACATAGTCTCCAGGTTTACTCTGCGATTCTCGCACTAAAAAACTACCATTCTTGCCCTTTTCCAATATCAGTTTCTCTGCTTCACGGCCGGACAGATGACCATGAAACCACCTGTTAAAATAAATTGGTTAACAAGGAAATGGATACTTACTTTCTCATATTAAGACAATAGTAATGCCATGAAAATACAGGATATTGACGAAAGTACTGTATTTACATCTAAAATATGATCAGTACAAAATTTAATGAGTGATATGAGGCCTTTTGCTATTTTGAAAACTAAAAAGTCGATCATTAATGCATCTTGCACACCTCTCAGTTGTAGGGTCTGCACAATTCAGTGGAAACTTGAGTTCAATGACTTCTCCATTCTTTTCACGCAGCTGACCCTGGTTTTCCATATAAAACTGTACAAGCTCGGCCAATGTTGCAAACTTCTCTCCTCCATATAAATCATAAAAATCACCCATATTCTGGATTTTTATGTGAGTTACTTCACCATTCCGTCTGTAACAGAAAACAACACACATAAATTAGTGGAATCACATGTGAATCAGATATCAACAATAATTCTATGGTAATAGCCTAGGAGGTTTTGGTTTAACCAGCTACCTAACAAAAATTTCTATAGAAAAAAAATATATATATATGCAGTATATGGTATATTTTTTCATGAGCTCACAGCTCAGCCTCACCCACTTTGAGTACTACTGGGTGGTGAGTTGGCGCCTTAGCAATGCAGTTATGTGTCATCTCCACACATATTATTCCTCATTATCCCTCGTTTAGTGGACATTTTGCTTAATGATCATTTTTTCAGGAACGCATCCCAATTGTTAAACGTGGGATACCTGTAGTACTCTACTGTAGTTACTTTAAGTCTATGACAATTCTTTCCTTATGTGGATTCCTATATGTGAGACTCATAAATGAATTTGGTCAGGCATGAATGTTTTATCATCTAGTTCTTTAGCATAAAGGTTAGGAACTCCTATCTTAAAATTTTAAAATTCACTTTATTGAAAATGAGATGATGGGGCCATTTCATCATATTCCAGCAATGACCCTTCTTTACTCAAGTTAAAACTTAACAATTTTATGACCAGAAATTTGGAAGTTGATCTCAGTATGTCTTAAGTATTTCTGAAAGGTTCCAGAACCCATTAAGTTTCTTTTTGGGACATACAGTATTCAAATGGAGTTCCTCTATCCACAGAATCTCCCCTGCAACATCCTTTAAATGGGTGACTGTTAAAGCAGACTGATTATTGGAAAGAGTTGATGCAAACTCAAGGCAGAAAAAATAGTAAACAGTGGAGTGGCAACACGGTAAAGTCAGAAATGTATTTAGAACTTCCAGACCAATCATGTACCAGGGGTATGGAATCATCAGCAAGTCTAAGAAGATACAGTACAGTATAGTCTGGATTTACGCGGTTTTTTGTTTACGCGTTTGGTCATTTACACGGTGCCTTGCCAGAATGTAAATGCTTTAATTACGCGGTAAATTTGGTCATTTGCGCAGCGAGCAGCTGGAGGTCCAGACCGCCGCGCCATTTTTTACCCACGCGGTTCATTCTTGACCATACGCGGGAAGCGGCGCGGTGAGTGGTGCGCATTAGGCCGCTCTTACGTTATCGCTGATGTCATATGACGTATCGGACTGTGATTGGACCACACATCCTTACCACCCACGCATTCCCTCCGCCACTAGCTGTGATTGGTCTAATGTAACATGATGTGCCCTGCCACCAGAGGGTAGAAGTCGCTGATCTAGCCGGGCCTGTCTCATTGTTCTGTCTGCGTATACAGTTCTCTCGTGCCCGCTATTCCCCTCACAATGGCTTCCGCGGGACCTCCACTACCCGAGAAAAACCTTGAATTACCTGGACCAAGCCATGACAATGTGAGGGAAATCATCGAGTTGGGGGAGAAAATTAAGCTCATCCTTGACAACGACCCAGACAGGCAGCGGTATGAAGTGTCTAATAACCTTCTGTCGAAAGTTATGGAGCCGTATATCCAGATCTATCTCGACACCATCAATGCTAGTCGTCAACGTAGTATTGAGGACTTCCTCGCCCACAACTCACCACAACCACAGTCAGCCCAAGTCAGTGATAGTGACAGTGAGGATATCGACTTTGAGGGGTTTGTCTGGGAGGCCCTGCAAACCTCTGCGAGTAGTGACAGTGAAAGTGATTCACCGGAGGGCAACTTTTCTGCCCTCTGCCTCGGAACCAGCCGCCATCCACGTGTGCCAACCCAGCTTTTCTACTAACGTAAGTACTAAAAAACCTAATATTATTGATATTTCTCTTATTTATTAATTGTGTGTGTATACCATCATAAAATTAAGATGTTATTTTTACTACAAGGTGCGTATTGTGTTGGAAAAAACTGGAGTTTGGGGGTCGGCCCAGTCTCTATTTCAATTAATCACCATATGTGCTGTTATTTCGTTTACGCGTTTCTTGTTTTACCCGGACCTCCACGGGTTCAATTGACTGCGTAAATGCAGACTATACTGTACAGGATGTACTGTACTGTACGTACTTTAGGAAAATATTGTTGCCTAGATTTCTTTTTCTGCATACATGTACCAAAGTTTAAAAACTCTAATTAGGAAAAAGGTGATTCTTAAACATTAATATTAAAATAATTCAGACATCCTGAGATCCAATTAATGAAATACTGTATAGCCATGATAGCCTGGTTGTAAGCCCAGGTTTAATTCTTTAGCAATATAGACTGGGATGAATTCATGCATTATTTAAAATTCCTTGCCACAACCAAGTCCCTAAAGATATACAGTAATTAGAAGCAAGTAAAAAGCAAAATGTCATGAGCACCATGTCATCAGACACACAACTCAACCTTAATCAGGCTCAGCCATAGTGTAGTTTTAATTCTAAACTGTGCAGTCGTAGTGTAGACTACACATTCTTCAGATGGTTCCCTGGTAACTTCATTCCATTTGAACAAATAGAGGTAAGTGCTGTGTCTCTGTTCTGAGCATTGTGTTGCGAACTCTTGGAATGATATGCACACACACCTACGGTACCTTTCACCTTTATTTACATTCTATAACAAGAGTTGTATAATTTCCCTAATTCCTGAATCAGCATCTAGCCAGTACAGGGTATTTTGATCTAGCAGATCCAAGATAACTTATACCAGTTTATGATCAATACCTTGTACAGTATTGCATAGGTTCGATAGAAAATCACCATCACCAACCGTCATTTGAAGTGGTTTCAATACTGTTCCGACATTTTTTACTTTAACTCATCATTGGAATGAAAGACCTTAGCCCCAGTCCTCCAATCATTATTGAGAAATATTTCCTGATAAATAACAAGTACTTCCTAAGATATAAAGATTTTAAAGTTTATTATCACATGTTTTCTTTACATTTCCATACCATCTACATACGATTTTACTCGTGTATTTCTAAGGACTTTTTATCCCATGCAGTATCTAATTTTTCTAACCAATCAATTCTCCTAATACAGTACATACATTGCAGGACAGTATACAGCATGCCTTTACAATTAGCGGATTAATTCGTGGCCTTCAATTATTCGCGGAAGACACCCTGGATATACTCAAGAAAGTCTGCAGGTATTACTGTAGTTTTAAAGTCGCTGGCATTTTCAAGGCCAGAATGGGGAGCCCGTTTTTTTTATGGCATCCCGCAAGGTGCCTCTCTTATCCCAGGTGGCTGGGCCATGTGAGCTCACTCCGCCTCAGTGACAGTCCGGGTTAAACACTTGTCTGTTTCGTTCATGTGCTACTCTGCTCTCTTAACAACTGTGCTCCTTGTGCTTGTGATGGCTCCCAAACGCCCTTAACCACTTTCATCCAGTCGCAGGAAGGTGCCCAAACAAGTGAAGAGAGAAAAGAAGATCATGCATTTCTCCAATATGTACGCCTGGCTATGCCTGGCAACGTGAGCGGGTAAGGGAAGTGAGTGACTGCTAGTTAGCGAGTCGTTTGCAGTTGTAACTCTCCTCAATCCCTGCCATATTTCACTGGATTTACTGTTATTAATAGTGTTTACGAATAGAATAGTGTTTAATAGTGATTAACCCGTAACTGGTCATTAACGTTCAAGTATGTGATCGCTGATGTTACTATCTCTGGTCATTCACATACTAGAAAGTTTTCTAAATATACTTTTCCTGTTCCTTTGAAACTGAGTCTAGCTACCATAATCTGTTGGCTGGTGGTGTCTTCTTGCAGTCAAGGCCACGCTTTCTTTTTTTTTTTGTTAAACAGGGATTAGCCCATCCGGGCACAGGTCACTAACCCACACCAGGGCCTGGGGGACAAAAATATAATAAAAATAAAAATAATAATAATACTGTATTAAAAATAAAAACAATAAACAGATTTTTATTTCGCAGTCCTCTATTATTTGCGGATGACACCCTGGATGTATCCAAGAATGTCTGCGCGTAGTTTTAAAGTTGCCGACGCGGCCGGGATAGGGAGCCATTCGTTCTAGAGACAGTAATTTCCTTTACCTGTGTGTGTGTGTGTGTGTGTGTGTGTGTGTATACACACACACACACACATTTACAATACAGGTAAAAGAAATAATTGTCCTCAGGGCAAACACATAAAGGGAATACAGTATACATTTCTTTGTACACAAGTGAAAATGTACCCCACCCCCCTGGTCAGGAAATGTTGTTCGCGGATTTGGTGATTCACGGCCATTTTGAGAACCTAACCCCCACGAATTTGAAGGGCATGCTGAACTGAATTTTATTTACCTGACGACATACTTTTTACTTTCATTAACTATATTTTGTCATTCTAATTTCTTCTTTTGTCTTAAATAAAGCAATTTTAGATGTACGATATATAAGGACTTAGGCTATGATATACAGTATGCGTAGTTGGATTTTAAACATTGTTTTGTAAGTACAGCATGCATATAGCATGTCTTCCGACTTACGTACAAAAGCGTCTTAAAAACGTCCTCAGGAATGGAACCCATTCGTAACAAGGGGAACCCATGTATTACACCAAAATTACCGACATCCTTCATGTTGGGTTGGCTAAATGGCTACGAAAGAAATTTTGTAAGTTTGATCTACATATCAACCCAGCTGGCGCTCAGATGCCATTCGTTTTATAGACAGTAATTCTTACGAGGAAAATATTGCTGTATGGCAACCCAACCAACCCAACTTTAATTACAAAGCATGGAGAAGGAGTGAGAGTAGACTCTCGCATTTTTTTCTACATTTCGATACATTTTGGTGTCTTGTTTAGGAATTATTTGTGAGAGGATTTACCCATTAATATGTGTGTGTGTGTGTGTGTGGCTACATACACACACATAAATAGTACAGATAAAAGAAATAAGTGTTCTAAGGGCAAACAAATAAAGGGAGTATACATTTCTTTGCACATGAGTAAAAATTTTAAAAATGTAACCCCCCCCCCCACCCCGGTTAGCAAATTATATTCTCAGTTTTGTCAATTTGCGGCCATTTTGAGACCCAAACCCCAGCAAATTTTAAGGGCATGCTGTACTTAAATTTTTATGTACATGCTTAATTTTTACTAATCTTAATTGTGACTTCTCTCTACAATACAGTACAGTCAACCCTCGCTTTACGCGGTCCCACATTCTGCGTTTCCACGTTTACGCGGTACCCTGCCGAAACCGGAATGCTCACATTCTGCGGTGCGTGTACCCCTTTACGCGGAGAGCGGCTGGCGAGCCTCGCCATTTTTGGATCCAAACCTCCCGCCATCTCTCCCGCCATCCGCCATGTTGTGTAAGCGGCGCAATCAGGGTGCGCACAAGGTCGCCCAGTCATCAAAACATTACCGAGTTCTTCACCCGCCACCCACCACAGCCGGCCCAAGTCAGTGATAGTGATAATTATAGTGAGGATATGGACTTATATGGACTTTGAGGGGTTTGACAAAGAGGCCCTCCAAGCCTCTGTGGTGGATAGTGATACAATTGATACAAGTGATACAGGTGAGGGCCAATAATCTGCCCTCTGCCTCGGAACCAACCCCCATCCCCATGTGCCCAGCCATCTTTTCTACTAATGTAAGTGTTAAAAAACCTAATATTATTGATATTTCTCTTAATTATTAATTGTGTGTGCATACCATCATAAAATTAAGAAGTTATTTTTACTACAACGTAGGTATTGTGTCTGAAAAAGTGGAGTTTGGGGATCGGCCCGGTCTCTATTTCAATTAATCCCATATGTTATGTTGTTCACTTTACGCGTTTCTCACTTTACGCGGGCCGCCGTGGGTTGAATTAACCGGGTAAAGTGTGGGTTCACTGTACTGTATTTTGGACAATTTTAGTGACTTATCTATACAGGAGGTACAGCACCAAGTATCCTTAAAGTCGGCTTAAGCATTCTGTACTGTATTCCAAAATTTACTTTCTTCAATTCAACAGGGGTTTCAAGATACAGTATCTTCAAGTCTTCCTTGAATATGAAGTACAGTACATAACTGTAAAAACATACAATTGGGAGCTTTAAAATCCAGAATTTTAATTACCTGGAAAATTTACTCAAGATTCCTGCTATTTTAGATGTCCAGAAAATCTTCATAAGTTTAAAAGGAACGGAAATTTCAAAGAGAGTGGTAGTGGCTCACATACCCAAACAAGCAAGGTATTCACCATTTAAAGACGAGTGATGAACAAGTACTGGTATGTGTTGAAAGTAAGGTTACTGAAAAGTACTCACCTGATTTTGCTTAGTTAGTGATGGTTGAAGGACTTAGTTTTAAACAAATTTATAATGCAGATGAGTCTGGCACTTTTAGGAGGTGTTTGCTTTGTAACATGTTTGCTGACACAGAAAAAAATAGTGGCATAGGGCATCAAAGCATCTAAGGAGAGGCTTAATAATCTACCAAGGTGGAAATACTAGAGGTATGCATATTTGTAAACTACTGTACTGCACTACTGTTCGAGTTTTTCCATTGTGCACCATTTCCGTGGAATAAATCCCTTTTGTTGGGTGAGGAATGCCAGTAATATGGGTTCTGACATCCTGTAAATTACAGATTACATTTCTTATTAGCGATAACATATCACCCACTTAATTATTTTTTTAAATTCTACCATTTCAATACCTTCAGAATTTCCAAGTTATACTTGCCATAGGAAACTAAGATTAGCATCAATTTACACAAAGTTACTTACCGTACTGACAGAGTAAAGTCGCCAGGGTTTGACTTGGAGGGACGTGCAAGGAAGGAGCCTTCGATGCCTCGCTCCTTCAAGAGCACCTCTGCCTCCAATCCCGACACGTTCGGGTGGAACCATCTGCAATCATTTTATAAAGTGAATTAATAAAATCAATCATATGATCAAAATAATGTGCCTAACCTAATTCATTAAACTTATAGAACAACGAAACACAATATAAATATTCTTTACACAAAAGGCTGCAATGTACTGTTGGCATTCAATGTGATAAAACAGACAGAAACCAAATGCATGTTGTTTAAAGACCATGTAAAATTTCTACAGAACAAATACAGTACAGGTCATATAAAATTTTTTAAAACAGCATATAAATTTTAAGCATTTATTACACCGCAAAAAAGTATTACATACACTATGTACATTATAATAAACTCTGGAAATGAAGCTGTTGAATCTAATCTGGTAATTTTCATAATGCAGTGAAATGCATATGGTAGTTAAAATTAACATGGTGGCATCAGAGACTAACAATTTAGACATAAAACACTGATCAACATCACTGTGATACACAAAATAAAAAAGGAATATGTAAATTTGATGAGATAATTACAATGGAGGAATGAGTGTACTGTACAGTAATAAGATGGTGAGTAGGTTATTTACATTACCTGCCTTTCAACTTGATGGCGATCAATTCTGGTGAGCGCTTGGTAGCACCCTGTAGCTGGTGGTCGTGGTCAGAGATGCTGGCCACGCCACCCACCACCTTGTGGTATAGAGAGTGGAGGCGGTTCCACATCTTCTGGGTCATCATGATGACTCTCCCACCTCACACCACACCCAACACTCACACAACAAGCCTCTTTGTATTACCTTACCATTAACTAATTTTTCCATTATAATTTTCAAGTTTCCATAGTATCTGGACTGGTGTTCCACCCCATCCATTAATTATATGGTAAGACTGGTCTTCTTATTAAGCACATACTGGGTTCATGGTTAGTGGTTACGAAATTTCTGCTCACTTCAAGTAAACATACCACTTCAGTTTTTCTTAAAAAAACTATCAATACAGTTCCGTTTTTTGTCTTTAAATAATACAGTAATCCTTCCTCAGTCACTATGTAGTTTTCTTTTCTTGTTTATGTGCCCAACTAAATTTTTATTAATTTCAAAAATATATTCATTGAAATAATATTTGCAAAAGACTGTATGCAACATTTTATATTTCTTTCAAAATTATTTTTGCAAATCAAAAGCACATGATGCAGTTCACTTCCATATTTAGCCAGTATCAGAATAAATTTTCTATTCCCATAACTTCTTCATACCAAACTAGAAATATATATATAGTATTATAAATTACCACAACTTCCTCCCTGCATCAACCACAAAATTTTTTTTGCACAGCCAAACTTCTTCATTACATATAAAAACAATAAAATCAGTCCTAATACTAATATCATGTTTAATAACTACCATTATATCTATTTTACAAATTACAAATGGAGATAAAGTACCTGTACTGGACAGTGTACACCTCAAGATGAAGCACTGTACACCTCAAGATGAAGCAATGTATACCTCTAGTAGATGAAGCAATGTATACCTCTACTAGATGAAGCACTGTATACCCCCACTAGATGAAGCACTGTATACCTCCACTTGATGAAGTACTGTAAACTTCCACTAGATGAAGAACTGTACACCTCCATTAGATGAAGCACTGTATACCTCCCCACTAGATGAAGCACGGTATACCTCCACTAGATGAAGTACTGTAAACCTCCACTAGATGAAGTACTGTAAACCTTCACTAGATGAAGCACTAGACATATCCACTATATGAAGCACTGTACACCTCCACTAGATGAAGCACTGTACACCTCCATTAGATGAAGCACTGTATACCTCCACTAGATGAAGCACTGTATACCTCCACTAGATGAAGCACTGTATACCTCCACTAGATGAAGTACTGTAAACCTCCATTAGATGAAGCACTGTACATCTCCACTAGATGAAGCACTGTACACTTCCACTAGATGTAGCACTGTACACCTCCATTAGATGAAGCACTGTATACCTCCACTAGATGAAGGACTGTACATCTCCACTAGACGAAGCACTGTACACCTCCATTAGATGAAGCACTGTATACCTCCACTAGATGAAGCACTGTATACTTCCACTAGATGAATCACTGTATACCCCCACTAGATGAAGCACCATACACCTCCACTAGATGAAGCACTGTACATCTCCACTAGATGAAGCACTGTACACCTCCACGAGATGAATCAATGTAGCCTCCACTAGATGAAGCAATGTACACTTCCACTAGATGAAGCACTGTACATCTCCACTAGATGAAGCACTGTACACCTTCACTAGATGAATCAGTTTATACCTCCACTAGATGAGACACTGTACACTTCTACTAGATGAAGCACTGTACACCTCCACTAGATGAATCAATGTATACCTCCACTAGATAAAGCACTGTACACCTCCACTAGATGAAGCACTGTACACCTCCACTGGATGAAGCACTGTACACCTCCACTGGATGAATCAATGTACCCCCCTGTATAGCTTCAGTAAATAGACAACACTGAAAGTGTAATTAACCATGAAATATATTTCTGTCTTTGAGAAAACTCATTGATGCTACTTTTCCGTCACCACCCACTCTGGCGGGAATAAAAAAAAATATTTATTTTTTCTCCTCTAGGCTTTCTGCGGCTCAAATTTATCTTTCCTGTTGCCCTGTTTCCCTTCTTGCTGATGTTTCCCTTCCTGCTGCTGTTTTCCTTCCTGTTGCCGTTTCCCACCCCCTTTGCCCCATTTCCCTTCCTGTAACTCTATTCTCTTCCTGGTACTCTATTTCTCTTTCTGTTCTCCTTTCAGCTCTACTGCTGTCCTTCCTGTTACCTACATGTTAGTCTGCTCCTTCTGCCACAAGATGACAAATACAACAGGAGTGATTTTTTTTATTTTTTTAACACTGTACCACACACATGCCACCTACTAATACTGCACTTGTGTGCAACCTACTAATACTGCACTTGTGTGTGTCTGTTACCTACTAATACTGCACTTGTTTGTGTCCCCTACTAATACTGCACTTGGGGGTGCCATCTACTAATAGTGCACTATGATGCTACCTAAAAACGATATTCCTTAGGCTAATATAATTATCTTCCGCTCTTTCACTACCACCCTTATTCTTGCTAAACCCTCTGCCACCACACACCTTCAATTTATCAACTTCCGAGAACGGTAAAAACTAGAACTAGGTTCAGAGAAAACAAATATTTAAATTAAAGATTTGTTATCACGTAAATCCTATAAAATAATAGTTTTCACATCGTTAATAACATTTAAAAAGTTAGTGATATAATGTAGCGATCATAATTATTACATAACCAGTCGGCGACCGCGCGATAACAAAGATATCACTGGTAAATGGTAATAGAGCAAGGGTCCGTAGGCGTGTTAGTTGATTTTTTTTCACTTATCAAGACTTCAAAATTTCTCAAGTTTTCGGGTACACTCACGAACGGTTTGTCATTACCATATCTTCTATCTTCCCAAACTTTTACGAGAGATTCAGGAAATATCTACTGTTACCAGTAACCACTAATAACCTTTCTTCCCCAAATTTCAGACTCAAGAAGTACTGGGTATTACATTTTCCATGCACTCAAATTTTCACATATAATCCAATAAATACATTTAATTACACCTGCCATTATACAGTACTCCCAACTTTTCATAATGACTGGGAAACTTTTATTCAATTACGGCACGAACCATGCCAAGCTTCTCCTGTCAACTACACTGAAGACTCTCGTGCTGTGATTCGTTCAATCTTAATATAAATAAGATGAATGCGTAATATAAATGCCTGTTCACACACACACACACACACATTCTCACAAAAATATTTAACTTTGAAGGCCCAGTTTAAAAAAATGAAACTTTAAAACACAAAGGAGTAAAGCTTATGATAACCTGATATTACATCAGCTTTGACAAGACCAAAGTTCAGGTTACAGTGGCGGGAGTAATGGTGTGATCGCAACTAGTCTCGTTTAAATGAGACGACTGTTATCTCCATTTTTTGTAGAGGAGAGATCTCGATGAATAGTGATAGGGAGCAGATTACCAGCAACAAAAGGTTTACCTCATGAGTCATAACGCTTGGTAGAAGCTGGCCTTGGGCGGATCCCGTGACGATTAGGCACCCCAGCTATTTTTCATCTAACGTTACCTAGGGAGGTTAGGTTAGGTTAAAGTGGATCTACACCAACGCAATACTATCGGCAGTGGTTTATCGTGAAAAAATGCTATGGTATGCAAATGACTGTTAATGACATTATACAGTACTACTAAGTCTACTATCAAGTACCATGATTCTAGTAGTCTACGAAACTGGAACAGAATGAAAAGGTTAGATATTTAATAGTTATTTTTCGTTAGTATTTAACTTTTATTTATGACATGAGGAATTTGGCTAAGGATTTTGTTAGACAATTAGCAACTCTCAGTATACTGTAATATATTTCAGATTCATTTTCAATTAAATACATTATCTTACAGGGGTTACGGCAATGGTAAAACGAAATATCAAAAATATTCGAAAAAAAAAAAAAAAAATTATCTTGCTTTTGAATTTACAATTATAAATTTATGGTTGATCTGGCAATGCTGTGGTGCTGTAGGGGATAGAATAGTACAGTAGAAGAGACAACCGGGAGTAGCTAAAATTGATTTGAATCCCATTTACATGAATTTAGGAAAATGTGGGTGAATAAATTTTTAATTAATAGTGTTTATCTTACGTCTGGCAGTGGCATATAATTTTTACCCTGCAAGACGGCTGAAGAGGCTACTGCAAATCGAACGTTGCGTATTCGAGGGACAGATTTTCATGCTGCAAATTCTCCTGATTTCAAAAGTATTGACTCCTATTACATTTACAGCAGGTTTCAATTCTCTGAGATTTAAATAAAAAAATACAGATTAATATACACAATTAAATAATACGCTAACTAAACAAATACATTTAATTTTTGAAGGATTTTTTTTTATAGGGTAAGCATCTTTGAAATACAAGCCATTGACTGTCAGTAACGCGTGTTGGAAATTGTCTTATCCACACTGTGAAAATTACACGTAAATGTTTAAAACGTTAGAGTTGGGGGTCATTGTCGCCAACACAAATGTCAAGTAAGCTGATGACAAAAATGTTGCCAACATGATTGCGTTGGTGTGGATCCAGTATTAAGGTGTTTAACTATCATGTAAAATTAAGTTGCGGGTGCTAATCTTCATGTGATCCACTTGTGCATTATGGTCCAAATTCAGAAAGCTGCCGTAAACACCATTCTTCATGTTCTGTTTGGTAAATAGTATTAACAGAACTTTTACTCGTGACTGTGTAATATCTTGGGCCCAAAAACTTCCTTTATATATATATATATATATATATATATATATATATATATATATATATATATATATATATATATATATATATATATATATGTGTGTGTGTGTGTGTGTGTGTGTGTGTGTGTGTGTGTGTGTGTGTGTGTGTGTGTACTACTACTACTAATAATAATAATTAACGGTTTATTGAAAAAGTTCTGCAGCCCGAAGGCTGAAAATATACATTGGACATAAATGACTTATTACATACATTGGTGGTTTAACAAAAGCCTTCATTAGAGAAAGATAAAGGAACATACAGTGAACATACAGATTATTGTAAGTGTTGAACAGCAAACACGTGGTGGAGTAACTCCCTCCTAGATGGTGTTAGGAGGGGCCTCACGTGGTGTAGTAATTCCCTCACAGATGGTGTTATGAGGGGCCTCACGTGGTTGGTGTGTGTGTGTGTGTGTGTGTGTGTGTGTGTGTGTGTAAAGACAGAATATAGTCCAAACATATAAGCACAATATTTAAGGTGGGGAGGAATGAAATGTGTGCTTGTGAAGATGGACACCACTTCTAGCGCCAGCTTGAGATCACTAACCACTACACCACTATAAGCACAACCAAAGGCAACGGCGTCGCCATAAAACTAAGAATATTAACATATTATAGCACTCCCTCACCCTTATCTGATTGAAGATTACACAACAGGAAATTGTGCCGATATATACTCCACACTCACAGGTGGAAATTCCCGCCTCCCAGGGCACACCCCTAACCACCATTCCCTCGATGGCACTAAATGAACGCAATAAAAATAATGTTTTTTCCCACACTAAACAAAGAATTTGCCACTTATAACTTCAAAGGAGAATAAAGAAGTTGGCAAGGAA